CGGGCAGGCGCTTTCTCGTGCCAGGCCTGCGGGCGCTCCCTGCAGGAGAGGCAGGACGCTTTCCAGGCCTATGTGGAGAGCCGGGAGCCCGAGCTGCGCTACCGGCCCCAGGAGGAGGAGGCGCTGCTGAGAGAGATCAACCGGCTCCAGGGAGCCACCACCTTCAACCTGGCCCCGGCTTTCCTCCTGGGCCTGTGCCTGGAACACTCCACGCGCGTGCTGGAGCCCAGCCACCTCCCCCGGCTGGTGACCAGGATGGCCCAGCTAGTCAAGGAGGCTGTCTGGGTAAAGGGGGAGCTAGTGGAGGTGCCTGGTAATGTTCCCTCTGAGCCTTTCCGTCCATGTGTGGAATAATTTTTCTATGCACACTGAGGCATGTGTGGATGTGCACCACCCGCACAAACAACCGTGTCTGCGGGCACTCTGCTAATCTCTGGGCAGCATTTAAATCTCTCCGAGCGGCCGCACAAGTGCCCCACTTCCCGGAAGCCCTGATCCCTTGTGTATCCCAAGGTGGGGCCAGGAGTGGGGGTGGGGTCCCCGTATGGAGCCCAGGGTGGGGACAGGGCTGAGGGCCCCTTGTGTATCGTGGGGCAGGGCCGGGGGAGCGTGACAGCAGCCCCAAAGCTAGTTCCAGACCAGGTCTTTGTTTTCTGCCAGGAGAAGATCAAGGACCCACTTCCCGGAAGCCCTGATCCCTTGTGTATCCCAAGGTGGGGCCAGGAGTGGGGGTGGGGTCCCCGTATGGAGCCCAGGGTGGGGACAGGGCTGAGGGCCCCTTGTGTATCGTGGGGCAGGGCCGGGGGAGCGTGACAGCAGCCCCAAAGCTAGTTCCAGACCAGGTCTTTGTTTTCTGCCAGGAGAAGATCAAGGAGGTCGCCTGGGGGTGGGAGTTCCCCATGGCACACCCCGCTGCTGCAGCAGGCCAAGTAGGGGGTGCTCTGCCCTTGGACTCCAGCCCCACCCAGAGGGCTGCACCCTAGCACTGGGCGAGGGGGTCCCCGGATACCCAGGCCCTGCACCCACCCCAGAGGGGCCGTTAACCCTTTCCTGGCTGAGT